ATGTCTTTTGTTGGTTTTTTTTTTGCGTTATCAATGACCAGAGGCAGCTCCTGCAGAACGGAGAAGGAAGCAGGCGCAGACAACCGAGATGTCCCTGTGCCGGGCAAACCCGGGGCACGTCGCCCGCGCTAACGAACTTCTTTTATTTATTTCACAAGCCCCTTTCCTTGGTTTGGACTCACCTGCAGGTCTCCAGCAGCTTCTGGGACCTCCTCGCGTCCATCTCGAGTGGCCGCAGCCCGCGAACTCCCCGCCGCTCGTCGTTCACATGCCCGTGAGACAGCCTCGGGGTTTCTCTCTCGATATTTTTACCTATCGAATGAGGAAATGTCGAGGCGCTCGTCTCCCAACAGCCCTCCTTCCCCCCCGGGGCGAGCCGGAGCCGACGGCCTCACGCGGTTCTTTATTTCCAATGAGAAGGAGCCTTTTAATTACCCACGAAAGAGGAACTCCTGTGGTAGCTCTTCGGGACTTCCTGACATTTCGCGAGGATTAGCGGCGCCTTAATTATTTAAAAGCTGCCGTTTACCTCGGTGCCCTACGCCTCCCGAGTCAATTAAAACCTGTGGAAATGTCGGCGAGGGCGTTTGCACGTCGAGTCGCCGAGAGCCATCGGAGAAAAGCTTTTGGAACCGGATTTTATAGGGGCATTCATGAAAGATTTAAGGTTTAATCGCGTTCAGGAGGGTGGAAAGGACACCAGGAGAACATCTGCTCGGTTGTCCTGCCCACCAGACAGATGGTCTTAAAATAAACCAGTGGGCTTGTAGGACACCTGCCGACAACCAGTATCCCCAGTTTGAGAGCAAAAACCATTTTATCAGGAGGGATCAGGTGGACGAGGCCAAAGAGCTGCAAAACCAAAAAGATTTGATGAGGAAAAAACGGCCCGAGGGTGCTGTGTGAAAAAAAAAAAAGGACAGATCTACCGGCTCCGTAACGCCAGAATAATGACCGAGCACACCGATCCGCCAGCTAAATTTAAAAATGGGAAAAAATGTGTTGGTTTGGGTTTTTTTTTAAGGGAGTCCATTGCTGGGAAGCTCTCCTGGTCCTCTGCAAACAGCCCCGTGGAAATTATCCCCCCGAGATCCCTCGTTTTGTCTCCCATTGCTGCAGATTTGGTGCACCGAGGACATTTGCTCCCAACCTCTCCTTTTATTTGCTGCTACGGAAGCATAAACCCTTTAAAATTAAATTTTAATTAGCGAATTCTGAGGAATGAGGTCCCTGATGCCACCTGCAGGCATTTTACAGTTCCCGTCCCCGGGGCGGGTCACGCGAGAAGCCGCGTCGGAAGAGATCTGATCGGTCCCAAAAGCCAAGAGCCCGTCGGCGACTTTTCAGCCCCAGCAGAGGGAAAATTCGATTGTAAAATCAAACCCTCCCCTTTACAGCCGAAGTTCACGACGTGCTCTGAGATGTTCCCCCCTCCCCGGCAGACTTCCGAGCTCGTTGAGCTTTTTCCTCCTGTGCGTTATTAATTAATAATTTTATCCTCCCTTGCTGGCGGCTCAGCTTTCATCTCGACGTTGATTTTTTCCACTTCTCAGGGTATTTTTCTGCTGCTCAGTCGCTCCTTCTTCTCTGCAGCGCCATCCAAGTGCCTTATTTGCAGTTGATTTCGCGGGACGAACCACCGGCACCTTGGTTCTGCTCCCAAAAAAGAGGGAAAATGGGCGACAGAGCGAAACAGCTCTTGGTTATTGCATAATTAATATATTATATCATGGATGTGACATTATATATCATATTTCTCCTTTTTTTGAAGCCCCTCCAAGCATCAAGGACGACGCTTCGTGAAGGAACATATCAGGGGGTGGAACTAGATCTTTAAGGTCCCTCCCAACCCAAACTTTTCTGTGATTTTATATTTCATGCCGGCCAGGAAAACCCCAGGATTGCCCCTTCCGAGGGGTGGATTTTAAAAAACCCCGCAAACAAACCCACTTTCCATCATTCTCCCCTACACCCCAATTCTCTCATCGCTCGTAAAACTAAGTCATCGTGGTCAAAATAAAGAAAATAAATCTTTTCTTGCCGTGCCTTCCAGCGCCGGATCTCCCGCGGGCTTGCACAGAGCTGGGAGCGAGCGCAGAAAACAATAACTTCAGAAAACGAATTATGGGAACGAGAAGAAAATGAAATATTCCGAGTTCCGCCTTCGAAAAGAAGCGATTCCAATTTCCGAATTCAATTCACGGGCAAGGAAAGGCCAAACTCACGGGGGTACAGGTTGGAGAGGATTTCCAGTTATTCACATCCCCACGGCACCAGGGAAATCGTTTTGATTTTACCGGGTCCCGTCTGCGCAAAATATCGTCTCATGAATTTTTATTACTAGGGGAGCGCGCTGTAAGCTGAGTTTTATCGCACGGAAAGCGATTCACCGCGCTCACAGGGGGTCTAAAGAAAATCTGAAGAATCGTTTATACCGACCATCGACCTACCGTGACCGCTAAACCGTGTCCCCACGTGCCACGTCCAGGGATGGCGACTCCACCACTTTCCCCGGGCAGTCCGTTGCGACGCTTGGCCCCTCTTTCCATAAAGAAATTCTTTCTCCTGATATCCGATCGTTTCCTAATATCTGCTTGTTGGATAATCAATTCTCCAACAACCGGTTCGGGGTGCAGCCCGCTCTCTGGCCAGTTTTGTGTTATTTATTTTTATTATTTATTTTATTCAGTTAAACCGTGTTTGGTTCAAACGTCCCACAACGGGGAACGCCGGAGGCAGGACTTGTGCCGAGGGCTCCGGGGAAGCGCTTACACCCCTGTCTGGCTGCGAAACATATTTGCAAATAAGTGTCTGCTCTTCCCTGGCGTCGTCTTCAATCCAACCTCGGAACCACGAGGCGCTCCCGGCGGCGGCGCAGGAGGTAAAACAAAACGGGGACGGCGAAGCTGCGCGTCCCTGTGACACAGCTGGGACGTTGCCAAAGGGGAAAAGTTCCGCCCTTGGTTGAAATTTCTCATTTTTCAGCCTGAATTACCTCCTCTTTGGGGCTTCCAGCCCTGGGTGTGCAGGCCGGCAGGCGGCACCCGCAGCCCGGCAGCCCAGCGGGGCCGTCGCACCTGCTTTACGGGGCGATTCTTTCCCATGAAGGCACGCCGGAGGTTTTCCAACTCTTTTGTGCCTCTCTGATCCCCAGGAGAGGAAAAGACTCCTTTCCTCAGGGGATTTAAATCTCCAGCAGCTCCGCACAGGCCGCTCCGCCGCAGGACAACATGAATTTACCATTTTGTTGCCAATTTGCGGGCATGGAGCTTCCTTCTTCTTTAGCGGAGCCTCGCCGTGAGGTTTAGATGACTTTAACGCTCTCTTTCCATCCCTGAGCTATCGACTGCAGCGCGTTTCTGAGCTGCTGGGTTTTTTATATTATATTATTTTTATAATTGGATGGATATTTATCATATGGGAGCCCTTTGTCCACGCTCAGTGCCACCCCGGGGGACTCCCCCGGCTCCTGTTCTCCTGCAAAGTGCGGCCGGTTTAAGCTCTGCATTATTTTTCCAACGAAAGGGCTGAGAAACGCCCGTCGTCTTCCCAGAT